CTCAGAGCACAACACTGGCTCACTGGTGCTCCAGATTGCGATGGTACCCAAGACAGGCCTAAGGAGGATTTTAACAAGGCCCTGAAGCTTTTCAAGAATCACAAGGAATACATACTTTCAGCTCCCTTTTATAACAACCAGGCAACAAGGGAACAATAGGATTTACAGTCACTATAGCCTCAGTGCAAGTACCATAAAGCACTTTTGACATGAACTCCTAAGGCCAACTCCCCGAAACAGTGCCATCAAAAAAGTTCTGTCACAGTATAAAACGAAGACATCTTTAATTAAGATCATCTGCTGCAGTAAGACGATGTTTAGACTCCATTTCTAACATACAAAATTGCATGTGGCCTATAATTTCCCAGGGCTCTGCTCAGTCACCCCTGGAGCACTGGGTTCCCCAACACAAGAGTCAAGGAGTTACTGGAGCAGATCCCGGGAAGGGTGCAAAGAGGATTAAAGGGACTGGAGAACCTCTCCTATTAGGAGAGGCTGAGAAAGCTGGAGCTGTTCAGCCTGAAGAACAGCTGGCTCAGGGGGATCTCAGCAACATAAGTAAGTATCTGAAGGTATGTGCAAAGAAGATGGAGACAGGCTCTGCCCACTGGAGTCCAGTGACAGGACCAGAGGCAATGAGCACGAACCGAAACACAGGAGGGTCTGTGTGAACATCAGGAAAAACTGATCTACCAAGGGTAACCAAGCACTGACACAGGTTGCCCACAGAGGTGGTGGAGTCTCCATACTCAGAGATGTCCAAAAGCTTCTTGATGTGGTGCTGGACAACCAGCTCTGGGTGGTCCTGCCTGGGCAGGAGGTGGGATCAGATGACCTCCAGAGGTCTCTGCCAACCTCAACCCTCCTGTGAGTCAGCAGCACAATTTAAAACACAACCAACACGCTGTTGTAATAATTTTGCATCAGTTTTGCATCTTACACCCAGACAACTCATTTTGGTAAGCTGCACAGCAGCTTCTAATGAAATTCTAGAACACAAAACTGACATCAGTGTCAAATTAATCTAACTCTGCAATTAAGCAAGTGCAAATATAAAAGCAACAGCAGACAGCATTCAGTGATTACTCAGAAGAAACCAGGCCAGAGAATACTAAATTTGGAAACTCAATGCAAACATTGTAGGACTTCTGACCCCTGCAATTCTAATTTAGCCCCCCTGTACATATCCACTGTGATAACCCTTAGTTACATGATAATGCAGTATCTTCCCCTCATGGGACTAAAGTCTCAGTTAACACTCAGGTCAGACCTGGCTCCACATGGCTCAGAGCCATGTGACAAGGAGGGCTATCCAAAGACCAAGTTCACAGTTGAAAGCCATGCAGTCTCCAAAAAAAAAACACCCTGCAAGGGCAGAAAGGATTGTCTTTGCTGTTTAAGCACCTTGTTCCTGCCATGAATGCTGCAAAAGAACCACCTGCAGTGCCACGAGAGCTGTTTAAGCCAAGTTTTCAAAGGCAGCTATTGATACTGGTCCTTGTAATCAGAGGGTAGAACCTGAGGTCTCCTGTGAAGCTGAGCTGCAGAACTGCTGGGAACTCACAGTGAAGGTCTAAGAGATACACCAGGAATGCTCCAAGTGCCAAATAACAACGTGTGCTTTAAACAGACCAGACCCAATCCTTAATTATGAAAGCTAGCTATCCAACAATACTGGATATTTTCTACCTTAATCTCTGAACCTCACTGCCTGCAAAGCAGGGATATGCAGGCCTTTTCATCCCAGGATCCTGTGAAAAGCAGAACAATGGAGCATTTCAACATGAGGCAAATCACATTCTGATTTCATGGGAAAATTGGAATGGAAGTCACTAAATCAAGTAGAGACTTTCTGCTGAATAACTCATCACTAACTTCACACCACTGGCTCTGCATGTTCAGCATCCCAGGGCAGTCACTAGAAAAGGGAACAGATCAAGTGGTGTTATCACACCTGCAGTTAGTCACTCCAGAAAAGTAACAATACTTACTTCAGCTCTGTGAACCAGCTCCAAAAAGCTACAGATCACAGTGCCGAGAGACTTCACTGACACCCCTAAAAAGGTTGTGGTGCTCTGGGTGTCTCTTCACAGCACTTTTCTTCCTCCTTCTCAATTCTCCCTGGCCCTGTACCCCATCCCTGCTCTCACCCAGACACCTCTGACTCCTGCTACCATGCTGGAGTTGTCTCAACCAAGTCCCCTCAACTAACTCCTCTCTCCTTCCACCTTTATCCCATCTATCGCCGAAACCTGCATGGTGCGAGCGGAATCTGACACATTCAACTGTGTGGAAACCAGAGATTCCTTTTCCCAAAGTCTTATAGTCTGGATGGCTGGGAACATTTTCCATGGGAAGGGCAAGAGATATTTCTGTCGGAGACACCATCTGCCTGCCAGATAGCAAGTCCTACCTTCACCCTGAGAACTCTGCAGCGTTTTGAAACAAAAATCCACATCACACAACAAGACAAGCCAGTTTCCTCTAGTTTTCCTCTACATAAAGTTCTGAAGTTCAAAACAATTCCTCCTAAGGCAGACACGTGGCCAGAATCCCGCAGCCCAACAGTGGAAATCTGGCATTAAGCATACAGGAAAGGAGCAGGCAGTTTTCACTATAAATCACAGTATCTGTCCTGCCTCCATGCCACAAAGAACAGCAGCCATAAATAATCTGCAGCAAGTCCCTGAAGATGTACAGGGATGATATTAAGAAGCCTGAACACACCACAGGCTGCAGTAACTCCATGTAACATTTGGGCTTATGAGCACTAACAGAAAGTCCTGAGAGTTTTTGTTCAGCCACAGCAAGACAGTAGCAGAGATGGAGTTTGTTTAGAGACAAAAGCTGAAAGAATCCAGTTTCTATTAACAGCTTCACTGAAGTTAACACTTCGCTTCACATCTTCCTATCCCCCGTGACTGACTAGCTCAACATCTGCTGAACCACAGCCTTTCCCGGGGAAGTTCCAGAAGCTGAATCCCCTCCCTACTCTTTGCAAGTTCACACATCACTACAAGCCCTTACATCATGAACTTGATTGTTGTATTAAGTCCCAATCACATACTACAAAATGGAACATATCAAATGGCTGGGTTTGCTTTTTGAAGTGTGGAGAACTGGAACAAAACTGTCTGTTCCTTTGGATTTTCTTCTGCCAGAGCAATATATAAAGGTCCTGCTGATTTAACTGCCTGTTCTAGATGTCTCACTAAACTTCACCTCACCTACAACAGCAAACGTAAAGGATACTCCTAAATTTAAATCTGCTCGTGCCAACAACACAATTTAGTTCCTGGAAGTTTAGTTTGCAACAGATTTTTAATGATCTGACCCCACTAACTGAAAGAAGTGCCAGTTTATCTCTACATTAGACTCCAATTTATCCAAGTCTCTCGGGTCACAGAAGCAAAACAGATCACTTGTGTCAGATACTTAAAATGACATAAACCAGCCACAGAAGTTGAGCAATAAGTGCCTTCAGCCACATTAACAACAGACACCTATAAGGGAGGTTACAGGATGAAATTTCACTTAAAAAATAATAACAGCAGATGCTCCCTGCTCAGCTGCTACTTCAAGATGCATAATTACTGTAGTGGGCCAAGGAAACCTGAACAAATCCAGACCACGCAGATTTCAGGCACTGGGCTTAGGATAGCTCAAACCTTACCAGTCAGTACTTTCAAGATTAACTACCTGTTTAGAATCCCAGCTAACCAGAAAGCCTGACATTTTCATCCTCTATCTGTAAAGAAGCACCTGACAGCAAAAAGCACAGGTCCTGTAAAAATGACGACAGCTGGACACTGATCACCCTGCGGGAAAAGTGTTTACAGCGCTCTTCACTCCCCAGATCCCCTGACTTGGGTCAGTTATGTGCTCACAGGGTGCAAATTAACTGGAGATATTTTTATTTTGTCCATTTGACACAAATAAAGTCTTGCACTGCTAGTTTTCCAGCCTGCAGAGATAAAGGGCACTTGGGAAAAACAAATCACTGGGGACACCAACAGCCACTAACTCTAAACAAGAGCCTGAGCAAGCCAAAGCCTACAGAAAACAAATCTTTGTTTAAGACAGGTTCTTCAAGCACAGAACTCCTGCAAAAGCCTTCCACAGCAGGTCAGATGGGGGACTTCAGGAACTGCCTCCAAGTCCCTGCGCAGCAATGTTAGCCTGCCTAGAAATTAAGATTCCTTTCACACATGCACCCAATTATTGCCAGGTCTCCTCTCTGTCCTCTGCATGTCACTCGCCTGGCTAATAAAATCCCGGACCCGAGCTCACCTCTCCCAAGGCTTACTCTGCTCCCACGGGATGTTCCAACCGAAGGAGCCCCTCACCCTCAGGGTGAAGCCCTGACCAGCACAGAGTCTCCTTCCCGAGCCCTCCAACTCCTCCATTCTCCCGACGGCCCCCTGCTCCCCCAGTCCTACAAAACCCATGCAGGCCCCTGGAATCACCCATCCCCACCACAGTCCCACAGCTCCCCATCCTCTCCTAAGCCATCTCCCCGGTCTTGCTGACCCCCACCATTGCCTCCCGGACCCCCACAGCCACCCCCATCCTGCTGGCCCCCACCAACCCCACCCCACTCCCATAGCCCCCCATTCTCTCCTGAGCCCAGGTCCTTCATCCCCGCTCACAGCCAATCCTACAGGACCTACGCAGATCCCTGGATTCACCCATCCCCACCACAGCCCGCGGCCCCCCATCCTCTCCTGAGCGCCAGGTCCCTCATCCACGCTCGCAGCACTCTCCATCCTCCCCTGCATCCCAAACCTGCCTCCCTCCAACTAGCCCCACAGACAACCCCACTGCCTCACGGACCCCACAGCCACCCTCCCCTCCTCCTGCTGAACCCCACCATCCTCACAGCCTCCCATCCTAAAGCCTCTAAAAACTTCCACCCCAACCCCACAGAAGCCTCTCAGCCCCGGCTGAGCGCCCGGACCCTGCCCAACACCTCAGCCCGCGGAGCCCCCGGCCGCACTCACCGATCAGCTGCCGCACCTCCTCCTCGCTCAGGTAGATGCTGAGGCTGGGCCCGGGGCCACCGGGGGGCCAGTCCGGGGCGTGCAGGCCGGGCTGGCCCTGGACGGGCAGCAGCAGCAGAAGCAGCAGCGGCGGTAGCAACAGGCGGAGGAGATGGCGGCGCGGGCCCCGCACCCACCGGCACCGCCACGGCCCCGCGCCCGCCTCCCCCACCGCCTCACGGGGCCGGCCCCGCCGCCCCCCGCCGGGCTCCCGGCACCGCGGCCCCATCGCTCGGCGGGGACGGAGGGACGGAGGGAGGGGAAGGAGGGAGGGCCGGGGGACGCGGGGGACGCGGGCAGGACCCCCGCCGGACCCTCACACGGCGCGGCCGCCGCCAGGCCCCGCCCCGCGCACGCGCCGCTCCCGCCACCGCCGCCGGCGCCCCCTCAGCGCGGGGAGGGCGGGATCCCCTCACGGCTCTTCCCGCCTCTTCCCGCATCCTGCCCGGGGCCGGGAGGAAGAGGAGGAGGAAGGTCCTGCGGTTCCTGCCAGTCACAGAGCCACTGAGATCGGAATGAATCTCTGAGGTCATCGAGTCCAACTTGCGCCCGATTCCCACTTTGTCATCCAGCCCAGAGCACTGAGTGCCACGTCCAGTCCTCCCTCGGACACCTCCAGGGATGGGGACTCCACCACCTCCCGGAGTAGCCCCTACCAATGCCTGACCACTCTTTCCAGGAAGAAATTCTTCCTGATGTCCCACTTGATCTTACTCTGGCACAGCTGGAGACCATTCCCTCTCCTGTCCCTTGTTCCTTGGGAGCAGAGCTCGACCCCCCTACCCCCCCCCAGCTGCGCCCTCCTGTCAGGGAGTTGCAGAGTCAGAAGGTCCCCCCTGAGCCTCCTTTTCTCCAGGCTGAGCCCCCCCCCAGCTCCCTCAGCCGCTCCTGCTGCTCCAACCCCTTCCCAGCTCCGTTCCCTTCCCTGCACATGCTCTAGCCCCTCAAAGCCCTTCCTGAACTGAAGGGTCCAGAACTGGACACAGCACTGGAGATGCCTCAGCAGTGCCAGCACAGGGGGACTATCCCTGCCCTGGGCCTGCACCCACACTGGTTGTGACACAGCTCTAGGCCTCTTTGCCCACATAGGTGCACCTGGGCTTGTGACCAGCCTCTGTTACCAGCACTCCAAGGGCCTTTTCCAGGTCCCTCATGGTCTCTGACCCCATCCCAATGGAAGGCTGGCAAGAGTGGGTGCTGCACCCCAGGCTGCCACCGAATTGCCTTATACTCCTCCTGAGCCCCCCTACATGTCCCTACGTTCCCCCTTGACTGTCACTGCTCCATCCTGAACCCTCCCAGCCCCACAGCCTGCCCTGGCCATCCACCACAGCCTGCCCTGGCCATCCATCCATGATGGGCCAGGGGGGTCAGACCCATGTGGCTGGAAATGCTCTGCCAAAACATCCCAGAAAAGATAATCCTGGAATAAGTGATTGTGGTGGGTCAATTCTGGTAGGACACCTGATGCCCACCAGAGCCCTCCTCAGCCAGACAGGGGAGAGAAAATGTAATGAAGGGCTTATGAGTCGAGCTAAGGACAGGGAGATCACTCAGCTATTACCGTCATGGGCAAAACAGACCCAGTTTGGGGAAATGTATGAAATTTATTACCAATGAGATCAATAGGATAATGAGAAGTCCACTTTAGAGCCAGCTGGCATTGTCTGCATTGGACACAGGGGAAGCTTCCAGCAGCTTCTCAAAGCCACCCTTGTAGCCCCCTGCTACCCAGAACCCAACACACTGCTCAAAAGGCTTCCCAAATGGAAATCCTGCTAGAATACCAGCATTTTAGTTGAAGAAGATGTCCTTTTTTGGTAATAATTTTAAAACGAAAAAAAAAAAGTATTTTAGATACACATTTTATAAGTATATAAAACATACCAATGTTCTATTTAACATTTTAATCTACTTTTTTATCTTACAGTACTGTCAAAGCTAAGAAGCAGCAGTGTTTCATTTCACTGTACCAAAGAGCCTTTGGTCCACAGAGGATGGCGATTTCAACCCCAGCCAAGCCATTTTGCCTGTCATGATCCTGAAGTAAAATCTAAACTGTAAACACATCTCCTGTTCTCTTACAGTATGGAATGCCAGCAGCAGGGCTGCCTCACAGCTGATATATTTTAAAAGAATGCAAGAATAATCAAGCCCAATGATGAAAACAACATTAAATTCCAGCGTGAGACTTTGAATCTCCTATACAAACATTCCTGACCTTTTCCCGAAATCCTCTGCTATGCAGAATTTCAAAAGTAAGGATTTCTGTGGCAGTTTGGCGCAAGCCCTCTTTTTCAAGATGTCCGCCTTTCCCCTGAAACACAAAAGCCTCTGTTCCGAACAGCTAGGGAAGTGGATTTTGTTTTTCTGAGCTGGCTACTGACCTAAAAACGCCTCATTCCTCTCTCCTCCAGGCTGAGGAGCTGCCTCCATCATCACCTTCCTACCTGCTGTCACACCTGGCTGCTCTCCAGCTCGTCTAGAGAGCAGTGACAGTTTTGCTGTCAGCAAATCCGTCATGGGGGGCTGCCTTGCTTGATTGAGGTTTTCAGCAGAAGCGTCACAATATTCATTTATGACCATTAAATCACTTAATAGCTTTAAATTACGTGCTCCCTCCTGACCTGCCAGCAGGAATTCCGTCCGTCCGTGGGACACCATGACAGCAGGACATGCAGGATAATTAACCATGGAGAGGTTTAATCAGTGAGTCTTTCAGCTCGTAATCCTAAGAATGGAGAAAGTGTGTGGGAAGTTCTGCATTTGTAATCACGGTGATGAAAGAGAAATCGCTCACACATCTCCCCACAATAACCACCACTTCCTTAACAGCGTGAGGTGTAAAAAAATAAAATATCAACCTGCAATGGAGTGGGAAGTTATGTGCAAGTCTGGGGTTGGGTGGATGTGGCCCAGCCTGCCCTACTAGTACTGGTTGCTGAGAGAGAGCCTTCCACACCACAGCTTGTCCACAGGCCATTTCCTCAGCCCCCAAACCCAGCGTCTGGGCATCTGTGTTTGTTTGCCCCGCAGGCACAGCCTGAAGCTCAGACTCCAGCTGGCTCCTGATCCACCTCAGTGAGGGACTCGTGGACAGGCAGACAATGTTGGTGTCTGATGTGATCAAAACCAAGACCGAGGCCCATCAGACAAAGACCAAGCAAAATGTTGATGCCGTTTTCAGGTGAGCTGACAGGCAGCTGACATGGGGAGACACTGCCAGCATGAATCCACCACTTGGACAGATCCCCGCTTCACTCCCAATGAGTGCATTGAGGGAACAGCAAGGAGTTACTCTTGCTCTCTGGAGGTAGGACGAGCCCAGCGAGCCCAAAATGGTGTAGGCACCAGGCAGGAGATAAACAGCTCTTTTTTTTCCATGGGTTTGTCAAAGACTTGGCAGAAGAAACAGGGAAATGTGGATGCTCCTCAGCTGTGACAGTCTTTAATGGTAGCAAGACCCACAGAAAACCCCATGTGGGCGTTCCATTTTCTGCTTTCCATTTTCCACTGCACCTCATTTTCCCCAAACCCATTTCTGTCTTCATGAGGAACAAGGGAGAGAAGTATCCATGCAGGCACTGTGGTTAACATGACTTTAACCTTAACCTTGACCATCCCTGCCTTGGGCGCAGGAACACGATATTCAGCACAAACGTGACGTTCAGCAGAAGGACCCGTGTGGGATTATTTTCCTGCCATTCATTTTCAGCGAGTATGTAACTCTGCCTCCTGGAAGCCACTGGCTGATTTTAACAAAAGGTCACCAAAACCACATAAACCAAAGGCAAATAAACACATTCTTGGGCCGTGGTTGCCAGCCTGACAGAGATCTAAAGGCCTGGCTGGGGTGGCTGCTCCCTCACGCCCATGAGTTTGATTGCTTGCTGAGCCCTGAAGCTATAATTAAAATGCAGTCTGCAAGGATAATTGGGGGGCTTAGAAGCCAAATGAAGGTTTCATGGATGTCAAGAAACATCTCATTGGAAAAAGGTGAAAAATGCAACTCACTGGCCAGCTCAAACCCTGAAGATATTCTGTTGATTTTTTTTGGCTGCAGAGACTATTTTTAGCAGGATTGAGTTCACAGTCTTTCAAAACCATTCTGGGGAAGTTTATATTGCAAGAGGATACATGAAGTCTCTCCATGGCAAGCTGCTGGCAATAGCTGTGAACTCACAACGCTCACATGGAAAAGTTTTGCTTGGATAGGCCCTGGGATGCATCACTGCGGGTGCTCCCAGCCTGACTGTATCAGCACTTACGACCGCCGGGTCCCAGGAGGGATGGAAGAGCTACAATTCATTTCTGGATGAAAAACAAACCTGTAAAAGCAAATAGCTGACAATCAATGGCACTGGTAGGAATTTGATACATGAGGACCTCACGGAAGACACATGATACAGGGATGTTGGGTGCTGGGGGATGGGAGACAGGGCTTTGGGAATGACTGCTCCATGTCCAGACTCGCTCACACACACCACTGCGATACGAGGGGGCTTTCCCCACCTCCTCTTTAGGATTGTAAATAACTGCAGCATTCCCTGGAGAGGAAAGCTGACCCCTTCACGCAGACACAGGAAGGAAGTCCTTCTGCCTCTTCCAATCAGTCTTCCAACATTTTTGCCTTCAAACAGCTTCTCTCCTTTACAAGTACCAGGTGACCTCAGTGCTTGGATGGCTTCCAACACAACTGCACCTTGGTTCCATGACCCAGGAGCCTTCAGCTCATCACTTGCACAAGGATCTCTTGCCCACAAGGCTTCTCCACAGAAATGCTCTGGAGCTTTGCCTTTACTTGTGGACAACAGTTAGAAATGGGCAAAGGGGATTTTGGATTTAGCAGACCTAGAAAAAGATGTCACAGCTGAGCCTGTGAAAGCACCTAAGCTATTTAGTATTGATTGACTCCTTTATTATTTAGTATCATTTAGCATTCCCCCTTTTTTTGTATTTATTTACCCCTTTCCCTGGGCAATGATGTGTCCCCACACCTCTGAGTAGAGATAATCCCCTCCATTTGCTCTGTTTTACCTCCCACCATTTCCTAAAGTGTTTCCCACTTCTGTCTTTCATGGAGCAGGGTGCCCCAGGGTTTCCAGTTCTCCTCACTGAATGGGGCAGACTGGGGGGGCTTGCTGCTTGTTTTCTTGTACATCTCTAATTTTGCCATCCCTTTTCCCATAGTCCAAGGAGAAGAACGACTCATATAAATAGACAGATGGCTTCCCTCAGATTAGCAACGACC